ACTGTAAAATCTTGGACGAGAACCTCCTTCCCTCAGCCAAGGCAACAAAGGAGTGGCTCAAGAAGAAGCACATTAAGGTCATGGAGGGGCCTAGCCAGTCTCCAGACCTCAATCCTATAGAAAATCTGTGGAGGGGGCTGAAACTTTGAGTTGCCAAACAACAGCCCAGAAACCTTAAGTATTTAGAGAGGATCTGTAAAGAGGAGTGGACCAAAATCCCTCCTGAGATGTGTGCAAACCTGGTGACCAACTACAAAAAAACATCTTACCTCTGTGCTTGCCAACAAGGGTTTCTGCACCAAGTACTAAGTCATGTTTTGCTTGAGGATCAAATACTTATTTCACTCACTGAAATGCAAGTCAATTTCTAACCGTTATATAATGTTTTTTTTCTGTATTTTTTGGATGGTATTCTGTCTCTATACTTTAAAATAAGCCTACCATAAAAATTACAGACCCTTCATTTTTTTGTAAGTGGGCAAACTTACAAAATCAGCAGGGGATCAAATAAATATTTTCCCCACTGTAGTTATAAGATGAAATAAGATTGTTAAAATGTTATATTTTATTGTTAGAACATTATATATTTTATTTCATTAATATTTTTTATCTGCAAGTACAGTTTTTTTTAAATGTACCTTTAAAATGTATCTTTAAAAGTACACTACAAGAAGCACGTTCAATACTTTTTTCATAAGGTTATCCCGGCCATGTGTATCATCTTTGCTAATGTAATAGCATTGTATACTATAGCATATTACATTATGCTATAGTATATTATGCTTTTGCTTCTTGGTAAAATCTAAATTACATTTAAATGAAGGTTCTTTTGAAGGTCTGATTAAATCCCTGGTTTTGGTTTTGTATGGGTCATTGGTACTAGTCTATTGTGCTTGAAATGAGCACTGTTTGCTATTAAGCTCATACAATAGCATAGCTATTGTGCTCTGCATAACAAAGATGGAGGTGGTTTGATGGCTGAATGTTCAGTGGAAGCCCAAGTGCTCTCCATGAGACCTCGCTCGAGGAGCGAATGTGTAATACGGTTTGGTGAATAACCCAGCTGTATTTAGTGGAAACCAGAAGACAAGACTAATGAGACTACTTCAGTCCAGATACTAAAGTATTTATAAGCTTAATCAGCGGCTGAATTAAGGATTCGCATTGCACTAATTAGGCTCATTTGAATTTAATTGAATAGACCCTGCTGCTTTTGTGTCTGCTTGGTGGCAGGTTTTGTCGCTTTAGGTATAGTTATTACTGTCTGCCTGCATACAGACATGCTGGTTGTGAAATCATGGAATATTATTATGTACAAATAATTTAGCATGGTTTTGATTGACTTTTACTGCTTTACTAAATAAATAGTGTATGTACTGATTTGAAGAGCAGGTCTATTTCAGCAGCACATGGAGTTGCTTGTTTTTGTATTTAAGTCCGGATTTGATAAATTCATTAATAACATACATTTTTAGCAAGCAATGTACTGGAATATGTTTTAAAGTACCGCTCCAAATTATTTGTTGTGGGGGGCAGTAAAATGTTTTTTTAAGAAATGAAATTATTTTGAGCAAGGATAATTTAAATTGATCAAAAAAATCTATGATGTTTCAAAACATGACTATTTCAAATAAATACTGTTCTTTTGAACTTTAAAATGGTCATACAGTTCTTGAAAGAAATTAATGGATTCCACAAAAAATATTAAGCAGCACAACTGTTTACAAAATTGATAAAAATAAGAAATGTTTATTGAGCCATCACAGGAATAAATTACATTTAATGTATATATAA